GTGAAGAACGGTCAGTAATAGGGAATAGGTCTTTGACTGATGGGTCGAGTTCTGCAGGATCATTTGGTAGCTTAATGTTGCGCATGATGAGTTTATTTCCACCGATTAATAAATAATCTTTACTTAATGGTTAAATCTGAAATTTGAAATAATTTGTATGCATTGGTACCGTAAGTAGGTATTATGACCTTGACTTGTGAGCTTGTTTTACCGATTTTTATTCCACTTATTACAGGATTAATAAATGATCTTTATATTTACCAGCGATTGAAATGATTTGTATATAATAGTAAGTATTTAGATTAATTTAACCAGAAAACATAAATTAATTTGTTAAAGTATTCAAAAACAATGTATACACCTTTTCTAGCTTATTAGTTTATTGTCCGTGCTGATTTGGTCGATAAACAATTTTTTATCCAAGTCGATTCAGTCAATATTATTTATTAATTAAATTAATTAAACAATCTATGCATCTATTATTAATTTCTTATTCGTGTTTCTTGTAACTTGATTTTCTGAAAATTTATATACTAAATATTGATTATAAATTTTAGCTTATCTGAATTCAAAGTTGTATGCTGCCTATACTTGTACTGTAAACTATTATAATGCTCATAATCTAAATCCAACAAAATCACAAAAAATTAGCTATATATGTTCGTTACAATAATTTTATGCTAACTATATTAAGACCAATAGTATTTTTGGGTCCATCATATAAAAGATCAAACAGACCCGGTCCTAAGACAAACTGCAAGACCGGCGGTTTTAATCGGACTGACTAACAGCCCTCAAAAATCGCAGAATCAATTCTATAATTATCTATAGCAATGATTTAATAATAACTGTTTTTAGTCCGTCCCAAAAAAGACAGGCCCCTAGGACAGACTGGCGGTCCATCGAGCCAATCTAAATAAGTACCTTACCACGATAGAATAACTTAAGCAGCAAAAAATTTTTTGTCATACTTTAGGCTATACTTACAGACTAATTTAATATAAATATAAAGAAATGCTTATCTTAAATACACTATTATGATCGCCAAATCAATGAATAAGATTAAATTAAAAGGTAAATAAGTACGTACTATTTATTTTTCGCAACGGTGGGAATAAAAAGTAAATTCCCAGTTATATAAGGGCCTTTCGGGTTCTCATATATCCAGAGATCTACTGACTTATTTCCCCAATGGAAAATAAGGGTATTATATGATGCCATAACGACGAATCAAATAATAACTTTGGTACCATTCGAATCATACAGTATTAACAAGATGATTCGAATGGTACCAAAATCATCTAAATTTAATCACACATTCACGAGATATCAAGGATGGATCAAATTTTTTATCGGGACCTTGGGTCCTGATGAATTTAATTTGACCATTCTTAATATCTCGTGAACGTGTGATTAAATTTAGACGATTTTGGTACCATTCAAATCGTCTTGTTAAAATGATTCGATTGGTACCGAGTTATTGACTCAAATTCAATCAGGACCCAAGGTCCTGATAAAGAATTGATCCCATCTTTGATACTTGTAAATGCAATTAAATTTTAATTACTTCGGTATCAATTGAATCATTTTAACAAGATGATTCGATTGGTACCAGAATTGTCAAAATTTATTCACACATTCACGGGATATCAAGGATGGATCAATTCGAATGGTCCGGAGTTATTATTTGATTTGCCGTCATGGCATCATATAAAATAAAGAATAACACCCTTATTTTTCCACTGGGGGAATAAGTCGGTATATCACATTATACATAGTAACAAAACAAAACATACCGAACATAATCACGTGACCACATGGCTTGTACGTTACAGTATTGTTGAATTTATTATACTAACCTTTTGTATCTTCATATACAAACGTGTATTGCCTCTTTGACAAAGCCTTATTAAATCCTCTTTGTTAAATCGTATATTCGACGCCTATATTAATTCTCCAAATCACAAGTTTATAATCTTCATACTATAAACGTCGCGTCCTAAAGAGGTGAATTTCGAGTGTGACAACGGAATCACACTTTTCGATATATTTAACACGAATAGCATAAGTCAGACCTCCCTAAATGCAACCTCTTTAAATGCATAACTATGTAAAATCTCCCTAAATGCATGCCTTTTTTTTGGCCCAACTTAATATAACACTTATAGATTTTTACCTCTTTAAATGCATAACCTCTCTAAATGCATGTTCTTAAAAATTTTTACTATGGTCCCAATGCTATGCATTTAGAGAGGTCTGACTGTACTTTAAATCAAAATACTCATTTTATTTTCACGTATTCTTATACGTTTAGGGCTTCTGAAAACAAAAAATCGAAGACATAGCAGATATACTTTATTATTTTTTTTAATTTTAGCATCACGAGATCATATTGTGAAAATTTTGAGCCACAATTTAAACTGAGACCAAGCAAAGGTCGTAGAAACATGGACTTTGAAACCATCGAGTATTGGCGAAGTCTGAGAGTTTGAGAACGATAATAATTAGCTTTGTATTTATTAAGAATGCATTATTAATTTTTTCATTATTAACTAAAAACTCAGAGGTCCCGTCACTAACTGTATATATTGCCTAATTATAATTAAGGTACCTAAACAATAAAACTTTGCTAATTCTTACATAATTTCTTTCTGCCTCTTCATACATATAATATTTAATACTACATTTAGAGGTTAAGTTGTATTATCTATTGATTCACTAATCTTGCTAGCATAAGGCCATTGTATCAACCATGAATCAGTTATAGGCCTTTTTTCAGCGTTTGCAGGAGCATTAACAAAATTATTAACAGCCAACATCATCTGTTTGGCACATAAATTTTCCGAAAGTTGGCCAACACCGGTTCCAAATCCAGCACATACAACAGAATTTATACGATGATGTTTAATTTCACCTTCAAGTATATTAGCATTATGCTTTTTAATAGCGGTAAGCATAGCCCAAGTACATCTGTAAACAAGATCATCATTATTCAAAATTTTAGGAATTCTCATGGTAGGGCAATGAGCTATATATCCAGGAAAACACTTTTCTTCATTAGAATCATTCTTAATCTTTGTAACCAACTCTCTAACATCAACTAATAAACAAGTACCAACATTTTGTTCACCACACCATTCAAAATCTAACGACTTTTGTACAACTGGAATAAGTTCATTTACACCACCATAATATTCTGAAATATAATAATCTATACCACCGTCCATTAATCCAAAACTGTTTGCTGGAGAGACTAAACATTCTGCTTGGTTGGTTTTTAACAAATTTTGAAAGGTACCATGATGAACTTGAACTTTCAAGCATTGAGTTGAATCATCAGGCAATACTTTAGTTGGAAGTTTTTTAAGTTCATTATTCCACGCTTGTACTATTTCCTAGAAAAGAAAAAAAAAATCAAACCGTTACTGTTTTGTTTGATGAATATTGTGAGGATAAGAATCATCAAATAATAATTAATTCTTAGTCGACTAGTCGATTGGATAGCTAACTAATCGATAAGTCAACTAGTTGATTAGTTGACTTCGCCATATTTCACTGCATAAACCACCCAGATAATATTAGGTATAAAGTAAGAGACCGGTCTATAATATGATTTATACTATATTTTACCAACTGATATAATGTTTTTTAAGTTAATACATGCACACGAGGCCCAAAGTAAGAGATCGTGGATGGTTTATTCAATGAAATAAGGTATATAATATATGTGAGCTAATTTGATTAATTAGATTGATCAATGAGTCAACTAATCGACTACACTGACAAATCGACTAAAAATTTTTGACGATTCCAAATCTTTACTATATAGTTGCATTATTGTATATAGTACACATACATTACTTGTATCCACAAGAAGCAATTTAAATGCGTGTGGAGGCGGTTGCGAAGACGTCTCAGTTGCTGATGCCCAAACTTCATTTATATTAACATTTGTATCTTGATTATCAGTTTCCATCCTATTTAGCCTATTTCTAGTAGCTAACAAAGCAAAAGAATTGTTGAGAATCACTTCGATTTTTTTTATTTTTTTTATAGAAATTATTTTTCTATTGAAGTGATTAAATCTGTTTAAATGAGCTAAATTTATGAAACCCCTCAACATTTTTTAAAGTGGCGGTAACAAATTCCGATTCATACATGTGTCACTATAGTTACTATATACCGTAAAAGTCTGGCTTGTGTACCAGTTTAAGAGTTAGGCGGAGATTTATGCATTATATGTATCATACTGGGTGCCGTCAAAGGAAAATATACAATCGGACTTTCAACATTAAGGAAATAAGATAGTCAGATCGGTGTAATAAAGGGAAATACGCAAAAGCGTGGTAACTATAAAAAGGAAATGAAGTAATTAGACGTAAGGGGGTTAATTAAGCGGTCATAAAAATGTAATTCATTATGAGAAATGAGGTAATAGTAATTGATCGATCAAAAATTTACGTAATACCTTACCGTTGCACATTTGTATTTTCTTAACAGTTAATCTTATCACGTGAGATCCAGTTTAATAAAAGTCTATTAGAACGGAAATTCCACGGACAGAGCTTAGGAACAGAGCAAATACGTGGTACCCAAACCGCTAACTAACCAATCACATGTTTTTGGTAATATTCGACTCGTCTCATTGAGACGAATCGAATGGTGCTAAAATTATGAGATATTGTTAGTGGACCGAATTAGGCAGATTTACCTTATATAGTTTGGAATGACCAGATATATGTTGAGTAAAAGCGATAGATTAGGTCTAATATTAGTATATCAAATACGTTCAAAAATAAAAATTTGAATTGTTAATTAATAATAACTTTTGACAAAGTTTCCTTCGAAATTCGAATAGAAATACTGTATCTATGATAATGGTTTTTAGAAAAAATTAATCCCTTATCAATTATATGGATCTCATCCTCCACTGTCGGTTAACTCTATAATAATGAATTACCCGTAACGTAACCAGAAAACTACCAGTTTTAAACCGTGACCAGCAAGATGTAGAAACCAAAAAAGGAGTCTATAGCATTCTTAGTAAATAAATACAGAAATTTATGAAAGCAAAGGCTAATTATTTGAAACGAATATAAAATTGTCAATCAGACCGGATCAGTTATATTATTTACTATTGATATGCTTTTAGCATCATTAACGTTCTAGCTATGACGAAACGAAAAACTCCAGCATGATCAACAAATAAGCCCTGGCACGTAAGTAGTAGTGGTTTGTTCAGCCATTCTCGCTAGCAAAAATTCGAAAAAGAATCTAAAGCCAAATTTAAACAAACATTAGTAACACACATTTTGCTTATATAATTAACACATATTAGTATATAACGATAAACAGCATATTAAATTGATAAATAAAAAAAAGTTTTATTATTTAAGAATAATGATCAATTCTTCAATAACTTTAGCTATCAGTATCACTTAACTCCGATGAATTCCAATCCGGAATTTTGATAAAATTCCTTTAGTATAAAACAATCCATTTGTCTATATAATATATTATATCATTTTAAGCGTTCAATTAAAAAATAAATAAATTATGATAATGAAATTATTGATTAATACAGATCATAATAGACTGAAGGATAAAGATTAATTTTTTATAATACATTTTATTAATACTATTTTATCAATTATAATCTAGTTAAAACCTTGGCCCACTCTAGTATAGACCATAAATAAATTAATTTTTAACTAAAAATTTTTTATAATTGTCAAAATAAATTACTTTTTGTAAAATAAATCAATACTATTCAATAAAGACCAAGATCCATTAGTGCCGCTCTCAGTCATATCGATGACCATTAGCAATCCTAAAACTCAACGGATTCTTGATGGAATACCTGATGCTTCTTTTTCAACTTATATTACGTTTTGATAAAACTCTTATGTTAAGTCAGTATATGCACTTATTAATTCTTTCGCCCTTAACTAAAATCTGAAACAAAATTGCTGTATGCAAGGTAAAACAAATTATGAATCAGGAATGCAGCATCTAAAATTGAATTTTCTTCTAGAATGACGTTTCCACGTGTACATTCTTCTAAAATTCAGGGTTACACATGGTTTGATTAATGTTCGGGATTAAACGAATAATAGGTACGCGTTGGTATACCCGCTAATTCAAAGCTAATAATTTCTAGCACTCTTTAACTAACTAAAACGTGCAGATTGAGGTAACTTAACACGTTTTGACGCATGCAGATTCTATTCTCGTTTATTACATTATATAGACTTCGAAATAATCAATATATGTGGGACTTATTTTTTTGTATCTGCAAATCCATATATGTTAAAAAAAAATAAAAATAAAAAATAATTAAACTTGCGGAACCAAATTTCCAGTCTGTATTATTCGAGTTCTGATATGTAAATCATCTGAAAAAAACAATGAAACAAACTTTGTCTTCGTAAATTTAGAGTGTTATTTCATTTTTGTAGTAGCTATTTTGTATATAAATTATATATATTTCGTAATCGCACGATAGATACACCGGCCTTAGTGACATAATCAAGAGTGTGTGAAAATTAATAGAAAACGACAAGTAATATATTGAGAAGCGACACCATTATTTATTTGGTGTGGAAGAAAATTTTAATAAACATGAGGATACACTTTTTTTGTTCTTGTACAATTGTAACTTTTTTTACTTTAATATCGATCGCATCAAATGGAGTTCTAATGAACCCGTTTATAGTAAGCGTGAAAATTCCTCATGTCTACTGCAAGTAGCTCCTCAAAAGAAAAAAGATTCGAAAAGAATTGTTGGATACTTTCTTGGCTATCACACAGGCAGGCTACACTCACTTTTATGATCCAAGTCAAATTCCTTGGAATCTTACTCCCTTAAATTGGATTGGTATGAAAAATTTTTGTGAAAAAGTTTTTAATGATCATTTATTCTGAACTTAAATAATATGAGTTTCCATTAATTTATATACCAAGTGATACTTCAAACATATACCTCTAACGGGGTTTCATGATTTTTTA